AATCATCGAAATAGTTAGTCAATCTATCAAGATTAATATGTTACACGTGACCCAGTTTCTTATTAACTCGTCGAGTACCGTATTTATAGACACAATTAAAGAACAATAGGTTGCGGTCACCGGTAACCGCTTGGTGTTTGACAGTTTAACCCTTATTTTTATGACGGAATTAGCTTTCCGTCAACGGCTCCGCCCACATGGAATGAAGAAGAGTATTCTTCTTCTTGTACAAATATATGTGTAAAAAATTAGTCTATGGTAGTCCCTGAGAATGATGTTTCCCAAGTGTGGGAGTGCTACGCTTCGGCATGAATGGGCCGGCTCAACCGGAGTGACACCACGGCCTCACAGAAGACCGACGTGAAACAACGTTGTGTTGTGTTTCGTCGTGTGAGTGAGGTTATCGAAGGCCCAATTACCCCCCCTTTCCCCGTCCCTGAATCCCCAAAAATTCTCAAATTCCTAATCCCAAAAGGCCGGTAACGCACTTGTAACGCCTCTGGTGTTCCAGGTGTCCATGGGCGATGCCGATTGCTTACCATCAGGTGATCCGTCTTCTCGTTTACCGGCTTATCCCATAAAAGAAAAAAGGCAATGACGAAACATGTCTTCAAACGAGTACAGTAGTTTCAGTGTACATTCAACGCAAACAAACAAACAATCAAAGCTTTCTTATCTGTCATATTTTTATAGTCAGCACATTAAGCTATTCCAAATTGTCAATATAGATTTTAGACTTTAATGGCTAAGGTTGAAAATCCAATAATTTTTACTGGAAAAGGATAGCTTGATGTGCCGGTTAGTACGACGACTTCTTAACGATCCTATTGCGTGTTTTTTCTTGCAACGTAATTTGTATTTGTTAATCTACTTAGTACACAGTACTTTAATACTTTTTTCGATAAGTAACACTTAGGTTTTACTTATGTTTACTTACTTACCTATAACTCATAAAAACCTTACTTTTTTCAAACAAAACCTCATGGTTTTGTTAAATCTGCTAATACACATATGACATGGATATTTGAAACCACAGTAGGTATATTAATTCTTTTACCGAAAAGAGTTTAGGGACAAATCAGTTCTGTCACTTCTTGTTCCACACTGGCTTTAATCATTGAATTTTTATCGATCATAAAAATAGTCACAAAGGGCAACAACCTCCTAATTCAGTATGCTCCTGTTATAGGGTCAAAAGTACCATGTTATATGTATCAGGGACCACATAAACATGCCAATCACTCTGTGGTTTTTCTGATTTCCCATGTGAACGGTAAATTATATGGGATTGTGTGCACTTGAGGTTCACCTGTCCTTATAAGTTATAGGTTGTGGTTGAACGTTGAGATATAATGGTTTGTACAGAGAAGAAAGCGATTAATTAAAATAACTAGAAAACAAGGGATTTATTACAGGCGGACAGCGACCATGGATAACTCGCCGCCCGACCAGAACCAGACCCAGCGTATGGAGCGTCGCGTTACTCGCGCACCTCAAAGAGCTATCAGACCACCACGGATGGGGCCTAACGGGTTGTCGGGGCTCCAGCTCGAAGTGCAGAAGTAGGAACAGGGTGGTTTTTAGTTAGTAAGAGTCTGACACTCCTTCTCGCTTCACCCACGCCACGGCGGGAGAAGTCTACGGATGATTTTCCCCCTCAAAAATAGACTCGGACATACGAAAAGTAAATAAGGCACCCCTATTGAATATCTTATTTTTCATGTCAACAGTCATTTCAATTTAATAATCACTGTATTAACAATATCATACTTTTAAAGATAAGAATATCATATCTACATTCATCAATTGAACAGCATTCACTTTAATACACATTATTATTTGGTTTCAAAATATTTTAAAGCTTGAAAGCTGGGGCGAAACCCGTGTACACAGGGCTTAAAAAAAAGAAAAAAGTCATGATATGACATATTATTATTTATTCAGAGGGAGACGTGACGCAGGAATTCGTACATACAGCCAAGCAATTTTTATTCAAACTTTTTTACTGCATAGGCACTTTACTTCCTTGGGCCCCCTAACTAAAAATGAAGCAAAAATCATACAAACGGATATTTGAATGATAACAAACGGCTAAACACACTAATATCTTCAATCTAACTATATACCCTTGAGCTATACAGTGTTGTGTTGCAATAAGATCACATCTGCACTTGGAAAAAACACCCTTTGTCTTATCTCATAAGGTTTGTATTCCATTGTTGGTAGGTATAGGAACTTCAGAGTCTGTTGTTGTAGTGGGAAAATATGTTTTAGTTCGTTGTTGGAGGGTTTAAATTTGTTTGTTTCGTGGTTCTGGGCTTAGGGACCGATTGCCGGCGGGGTGCGGAAATGAGTCGCCTCGATGGGTTGCAATGATAGTCCAGGGAAGGTGCCGGGAATTTAGAGGATTACAGCCTGTCTGGATTCTGGATGCTGTGTGTCGTTAAGTCTAAAAGCTTTTATGGTGTCATGATAAAGGAAGAGGGTAGTTTTTGTAGGACCAACACAACAAACAATACTTGTATTGATCTAATGTTTAGACAAAAACGTATTTACTGATATGAAATTTCCATTCACGTAAATTATTGTTACTGTAATATTGCGTTGTGTACCTACGTAAAAATATTTATAAGGTTAGACGCCTGATTAACACGTAATTAGAATTTTTTTGTGCATAGAATGAACGAATTAGGCAAGGAGTCATGATCTCAAAAGTTATGAAGTGAAACTAATCAAGGTTATCTTTTACAACTGGCTTTAAATAAAAAATATTAACAGATTTTATCCTATAAAAACCAAACCATAATACCTTGTTATAGTTTAGTACAATAGTAACATTTATTTACTAAAATTCTGAAGTTCTATTAATAAAGTAAGTCTCTAACTACATAACGAGAGTGATTGCATAACATCGTTGTTTAGCTGGGCACTGCAAGTGTTGGCTGGTGGGGGTTGGGCGGGCGGGGTGCGGGGGGCGGCTTCCGTTCCGACGACCCACAGAGGTTGTATTCAACTAAACACTCACTTATCTTATAAATAACTATATTTTAGAGTGAGTATACTATCATTTAAAAATAAGATCTAACTGCCATACTTAAAGTCATTTAAGGGTTACCTAACCCAGTACTTACAATACAAAATCGTTTGAGTAATCAGTAAATGCCTCTGAGGGCGGCAGTGACACTAAAAGGTAAGAAAAAGGTTCCTAAGATGAGGACAATAAAGCTCAATTTTCTTTACCTACTCCGATTCTCATTGATTTGTTTCTCATCGTCACTCACATAGTCTGCATTTCTTGATGGGGTAGGTTTTATGGCATTATTTTGTTTTATATTACAGTCTACATTGTTTTTATTTTCCCAAGGGGTAACTCAAGGTTGCATACTAAATGTAATCCACTTATTGCCACTTGTGTTATGAGTTATGAACCCAACAGAGACTGGCTTATCACGCTACAATCAGCTACAATTCCAAGCACTGTGCAAAATTGTATCTACAAATTGGTGTATTTATTTGATCCCTTGGTCAGGAAAGGGATCAAGAACGACTATCATCACTCGATTTATGGAGTCACTCATCTGTTTCAAGTAAAAAACCAGGTCTCTTTCTCTAACTGGTCTTAGAGTCTACCAAATAAAATCCTACACACGCAAACCTTTGATTTCTGAACCAGCACTGAACAGTACAGAAAGGTAGAAGACGTGAAGGCTTCAGTAAACACGTGACTTTGTTATTAATAAGTTCGGTAGCACGTGCTTCACCCCCCACCTCCTCAGCTGTTACACCCCCACTGCCTCCTTTCATTTACATACGCCACCCGATAGGCGGCGGACGCATGAAATTTTCAGGAAATAACGGATGGTAGGCTGTAGGACGTAAGTTTCTCGCTGAATTTTGCAATCGAGTGGAAAATTAAAAAAATGGTCGTATGTAGGAATTGTTTGTGGTTTATTTTCGTTGTAGTTTTGGTAAGCAGGGCTGGATAAGGTATTGTTTTGTAAGGTGATTCTGTTAATGTGTTTACGTATTTTAGACGGAGAATGTTGTGATTATATTTTTGTGTTACCTACTTTCTTCTGGCTAGTAGGTTCACTTCTCTGAAACGGGTAGTACGACATACGAGTAACGAGTAATAATTGCCAATATTTTTAATGGCTATAGTAACATTTCATACACTTTTACTTTTAAAAATAATGTCTACCTGGTTCTAGGCCCTGAGTAGGGCAAAAATAAGGTTTTAATAAAACAAAACAAAATACACTTAAGAGTTTTATTGTCTGTACTTACGACTATTTTATACATTTACACCTACGGTAACTATATTTTATTTACCCACTATGTTTGACTATGGACAACGAGTGTCCCGTTGAGCACATGCTCGGAGGTTCATTAAAGATCATTAGGCAGTGATCGTTTACTTCATTTAAGAAAAGGTTACATATTATCCAGATCTATTGCAATTCTTTAAAACCCTTACCGAATACGACCCAATCGAAGTCGTGAAAAAACAAATAAATAATCAAATATTTAAATATTACAATACCTATCTATACTGACCGAACTGTTTTCGCTTCGAAATTTAATTTGACATAATTTCCTTTCGCAAAGTTACCAATCGTCTTGAACACAATGTAAGGTTAAGAAGAATAGAGAATTAACAAGTTGATTAGTGTTTTCATTCAACATACGAACATACGTACAGCAACGTTACCTACATTACGTTACATTTGGTTTATAAACAACATTTTATTATATTTCCTTCAGTGTTATGAAAAGGCAAGTTACAACATACAAAAGAGATCAGTTGATTCTCATTAAAATAGGGCATTTAATTCCCGCAGTTTATACTTGGTCAGGGTGCAGTTTTCAAGAAACTATCGCAATAGTTTCGAAAAGTGTCTTCGCAGGCACAGCTGCAGGTAGTAATATAACAAATGGCGACATCTAGCACACTACTGTACAATCACACAACAACTAATGACATCTAGCGGAGGGGGCAATCAATCGGACCTCACTTCGCAGATGAAGAACGTTTCGAAGGAGCAGGGGGAGTCGTTCCACTTGAGACCTTTGTCGTCTCTGTTCCACAGCTCCAAGCAGTTCTCTTCTTCTCCATTTTCGTAGCGGAAGTTGTTGGGCTCTCCAGCGTTCCAGTTCACGAAGGTCAGCGGTCTGCCGTTGGCCATCCAGAAGAAGCTGCCTTCTTCAGCCAAGTCAGTGCCTGATGTCCAGAAGTGTTCACGGCCGAAACCTGCAAGGTTATACATCGGAACATAAGTACGGAATGCGAAATTACATGTAATTTATAGCTTGGTATTTAAGTTGGAACTGTAATTAAAGCATTGGTATTTCCTTTATTTTGTTGTATCCACCTAGTTATTAGTAATAAATATACTTTTATTACAAAAGGTTATTGCTACATTACAAACACTTATATTTACAACAGGTATGCACCTACGACACAGAAGAAAATGCTAGTGGGGAGCAAAAAAGTATCTGTTAAAGTTACACTAAAATGCAAAGCTGCAATAAATTGTCCTAGAGGTTTGGGCTCCAAGATATAAATATTTATCCATTATCGGCCTGGTAAATACAACTAAGTAGATAGCGCTTGGCTTGATGTTCATTTAGCTTCTTTTAATCATTATTGGTATGAATACTATCCATCTACTTAAGCCTTGTCTCCTTCACATGTTTTCTAACCAAACTTAAAAATCAAACTTCTCTGTTCACTATAAAATCATCGTATGAAAAGCAGTATATTTACCTGAGTCCTTAACGTATTGTTCCAGTTTGTCATTCTCCTGCTGTGAAGAAATGGACGCCAAGTGCATGCCGTGGAACCTGCAGTACTGCTGGGCTTTGAACCAGTTCGCCTGTAACAATAAGAAGAAACAATTAGTTAAGTATAAATAAATATAGGAGACGGCGCGTGTACTGCCAAGATGATGAAGTATGATATTTTATTCACATGTCTATAAAATTAGGTTTTTTACACGTCAACAGTTTAGTAACTAGATGAGCTCGACATTTCCTGTCTGTCTACTTTGAGAAGAGACACGCAGAGGTCACAGAAGTCACAAAATGTAAACGTAATCATGATAATATAATATGCATGATTAAATTATGATATTAAAATCCGTAGGTAAGTGTTTTGATGGACTATTCTACAGCTCAGTTTGCCAAGAGCCTGGATTTGTACTAAATGTCTGGCTGTTGCTTGGAAATGAAAATATAAAATGTGGAAATTGGGTGGGTCTTCGATTACCAACACCTTTGGAGAAAACAAGGTGTGATGGTATCATACTTGTGACTCAGTACCGTCAATGTTGATACGTTATTTCTTTAGCTGTTACGTGCCAGTCAGAACCAGCGAAACAGCGCATTGTTTAAAATATCCTTATTTATCGACGAGTCATTGTCATTCAAGTTATGTGTGTCGTAAAACTTTTACAACACAAAAACTTACTTTTTATTCGCATATAAAAATTAGTATTCATGAAAAATATCCGTAGCTCAGACATTTTATTGCTGCATTCTTAATCCAACTTAGGTTTCTAGCCAAAGTACTATAACCTTTTAAAAACTATTTATTCTGGAATTTTAATGAAAACGTTGAACTTGTGTGTTTCAAGCCAATGTTAGACCGAAATCATTGAAACTAATCGCATGCGCAGTACGGAAGCCGCATACTAACTAGGTTAGCAGCACAAAAGGTAAAACCGCGGTTAACCGACTGGAGACACGCAGGTTTTGTGCGGTTTAGGACACCACGTTGAAGTCTAAACATATATCTCAATTTGTTTCACACAAAACGACATAAAGTACCGACTTACAAAGGAGATTACCATGTTAAGTATGTTCCCAAGTCTGGTCATATTTCACACACGCCTTGTTTAACAATCTGGGCAAATTTCTTGGGATTCCCATATAAAAAAGGTGGAGTCACATGTTGAAAGCAATAAATTAGACAATGAACATATGATAGATATAAAAATTATTCTAGAACAAAATTCAATAAGCCAAGGATTAAAAATTACGTAAATAAACATTGAGTAACTAACAAACTAGGTGATTGTATAAATAAGTAAAACACGGTTGTGTTCGCGGCTAAATTCTGTGCAGAATAGAAACTATTTACAAAAAAGTGTTCGTTAAACTGAGAACGAACCGAATGCTTTTTGCTTTTATTGACTTGACGTTTTCAACCTGTTTCGCAGTGGAGATATAAATTGCCTGTACTCGGAGTCACGTATAGAAATAGGAACCACGTTTTGGACCGGACAGGTGCCATTTACTTGCATTGCAGGGTCTTCGGTGCCTTATTTTATATTCTAAATGTAGCCTAGATCTTCGCACGTTTATTTGGCGCCATAGAGATAGAATATTTATTTTAATTATAGCTGCAAAAAGAAAAAAGTGGTATGTAGCCTCGAGTGCAAGTTTTTGATATTCATTCATATTACGTAGCAACAAGTCATACGACATTACTCATATGGTTTGATCGTCTCGATAATTTATGTTCATAAAAAAATGTGATTGGCGAAAGTTGCAGACGAAAGCAAAAGTAGCTTGCTGTGCTATGCATCATTTTCGGTGTAATTATTGTACGAGTACATTCGTATTGACGATTGCAATTATGTCCCAACCGGATGGGGTGTCAACAATTATTACGTCGATTAACATCTTATCTTATTACCTGCAATTTAAAAGAAATTATCTAACATGATTTATGGATGTGTTTAGTGTTTAAAACGGAGAAAGAATCTTGCTGGAATATCAAGTTGCATGCCACTAAAATAATATGTTTTTCGGCTTACTCATGTAAATGTTTGAGAGGATACTCGACTAGTTTCAGGCCACGCTAGGGGCTTATATTTAAGATCAGCATTTAGCAACACACGACGCGGCAAATGTACATATAACACTTGCATTTTAGGTTATGTTCGTAATGACACAAAAGACATTTACCACAATTAATTCCATAATAAAACAGTAACAGTGTTGTATCTACCATTCATCTAGCACTCACTGTAACCAATGAATGGCGCGAACTACACAACCGAAATGCATACATAAGCAAGATTAATTAAACGTTAGAACAATGACTACGGTCGTGTAACTGTGTACGTATGTAGCTTCTACTAATAAACAGTGTGTACGTGTGTTTGTATACATTGATCTTATGAAACGAGACCCACTTTCTCTGGCATTGGGGATTAGTGTGCGCAGTTGAGTGATGGCCATCTGTTACAAGTGTTGGTGGTGCACTTAACATCATTTGCACTCGTGTAGCAATGCTCACCATCAAGTGTTTTTATGAATGAATACCTCACTCGATGGTTTTTGCAATGGATAATCAAACACCTAGATATATGAGCAATTTTCAAGAGCTTTAGAAGTAATTTTATCCTTGTATGTGCATATTTTAATGTGAGTGTTTTTGTTTGTTATTTATTTAAGCTTAAAAAACTGTTGAATTAATTTGAGGAATTGTAGTGGTAGATTTAACAAGTCTGGTCCTAATTGGAATGTAGGTTGACGACGTGACGTGATAAAGAATGTCGCAGACAAACCCCTTCGGTGAAGAACATAATCTTTTTAATTTTTACGTGTTGCAATGTAAATTAGTAATCATTACTTCATTTTATCATAACAATTATCATAATTGGGCTACAATGGTGATGAGAAAAAATTAAATAATTACGGAAGATAATGTTAACAGCCAATTGTTGGGAAACCGGAATTCACCTACATTTGCCACATAATCTGGGCGTTTGACAAAACGTGAGAATTTCGAAAATTACCTTAATAATGGAAATGCAATTACGAATAATTTCGTGTTCCTGAGATTCAAAGATGGTTAACTAGAAAGATGATGTTAACAAAATGATGGTGATCTTATATCATAGCGTAGTCTTACGATTGCCATCTCATATCAGATACAAGATGCTTTGATAGTTATCTTATTTAACCTATTGGTACAGAGACTGAGTTTGCTGTTTAACCATCAATTTCTATCCTACTAATTAGAACTTTGATATTCTGTGATTGAATTCGAGAAATTGTTCTCAGCATCTTAGCGTTGTGACCAGATCTAACATCGAAACAACTCATTATAGTATATTGTTTACTCATTATAGTATGTTGTATAAAAAAAAACCAAAATAAGATAATACTTCCACTTTACCGACACCAGAATACAAATATGAGATTACAATACTAGTAGAGTGGACAGTCATCTGGTTAGTACGACACGAGGCTGTATTCCGTATATCGACATCCCTACGTAATTAGGTTGTGGATCCACCTCGCCATGAAGTGGAAATTGTTGAGTTGGGCATAGCCATGTTGGTTTGGTTTCCTATTTGTTTTCTACAAATTTTTGAATTGTTGGTGAATTTTGGCTTCTATATTTTTGTCTAGTTTTTATTGTTATTATAAATATAATTGTGAATTAGAGGATTTAGATATTTTGAGTTTGCGTGTCTAATAAAATAATTTATAGATTTGGAAATTAGTTCATGAAATTTGACTTAATATGTATTGTGATAGATCCTAATTGTGAGATGTGGAGTGTTTATTTTCATAATAAATTGAATTCCGGTTCAGAAATGTCATGTTTATGATCTATTTGACATTTATTCGAGTATAAAAGGTTATGAGCAGAAGAAAGAGTATAGGGCAACTATTGTTGAATTTCAAATGATTCCAAACCTGATTGATAGTTTCCTAAATTATAAATAATATTACGTTAGCCGTAGTCACGGTAATCATAAAATATGTAAGGAATAATGAAAGCGGGCAACAAACATGTTTTGTCTAATGTCATGTTAGGTTTCTAAATATATGTCAAGCTTTTCCATACGTTAGCCTTCAGTTGTTGGCATTGAAATTAATTATTGAAACTGAATGGTTATTGTCAATTATTTATTATCCAAGCTAAATTCGAATCATCAATATTTTGTTACTTATATTCAATGCTAGTTCTTAGTGAACAGAGGACATTACTAATAAGTATAACTTTTATGCATCAGGTGCAGGTTTCCGGGAATTAGGAACTCTATGTATTGCAGTAACTTTTAACCATGGTATGTTAGTCACAATGTGTTGTCTATTGTGTCTCATATAAGAGGTTATAGTATTTTAAAGTAAATCAGGTGTAAATTATTATGTTTTCGGCTTACTCACGTAATAATTTGATGAGTAACTCGACTAGTTTCAAGCCATGCTAGAGGCTGTCGCCGCGTCGCGGGTCGCGAAATGCTGCTCATGAATATGAGCCTCTAGCATGGCTTGAAACTAGTCGAGTTGCTCGTCAAATTATTGCGTGAGTAAGCCGAAAACATAATATTTATTTAGTATGTCTCACGAAAGTTACAATACAAATAAATCAGGTGTGTTATGTAGAAGTAAATATCTCACTTTAAATCCTCAACAAAGAGTCCAACATCTTAACAGCAACTTATTTCATCTCTGTTTATAATTCACTATTCGATGCATGCACGTGCAACCAAAAAGGTCAGTAACATACAATAATTTATTTTAAACAGTGACGAGTTTGTCTTTCATGATTCGCGAGTTTTTAAGAATTTAATGACATGTTCAAGTGGGCGGTCAATTTTATGACTTTTGTATTCGAATCTGACTGTATTCATCATAACATCACTCTTTTTATCCCCAAGGGGGTAGGCAGAGGTACTCATTATGGCTTTTCATGCCACTGTACAATGTAACACCCACTTTTCACTATTTATGTTATGAGTCCCTTGTAATAGGGGTGAGCCCATTGCGATATAGTGGGCACAATTCCAGACTTCCTAGTACTACAGGGATTTTTTTAAAAACCCAGTAGCTACTTCATTTGCTCGACCCG